CCCCCATCCAGGGGCGGCTCCTGACGCCCTCATACGGCGACGGAGGCGGCCACGGCTTCTGGGTGCGATGGAAGTCCTCTGGTAGCAAAGGGTCCAGAATGTCGTCCCTGGCCACCCAAGAACGTTCCTCTGGTCCGTAACCCTCCCAATCTACTAGATACTCCAGCCAACCACCCCGTCGCCGTGAGTCCAGGATGTCTCGGACCAGGTAGATGGACGGTTGGTCAAGGATTTCTGGAGGAGGAGGTTCGTCGGGTTCGGTGCGTCCTGGAGCAGAGGGAGAGTGAGGTTTAAGGAGTGAAACATGGAAAGTAGAGTGAATTTGGTACCTGGGTGGGAGTCGGAGTTCGTAGGTGATTTTGTTGATCTGCCTCTGTATCGGGAATAGACCAATGTAGCGGGGACTCAGCTTTTTACAGGGCAGGCGGAGACGCAGATCCCGGGTGGACAGCCATACTTTCTCTCCTGGATGGTAAGTGGGAGTGGGAGTACGCCGAGCATCTGCGAAGGCCTTATGCCTCCGCACTGCACGTTCGAAATGGAGGGGAGCTGAGTCCCACACTCTCTCGCTCACTCTGAACCAGTGGTCTACAGCTGGAACCTCTGACGGTTCTCCTGCCCACGGGAAGAGCGGGGACTGGTACCCGAGTATGCACTGAAACGCCGTGAGGCCGGTGGTGGTCTGGGTCAGGGAATTCTGTGCATACTCGGCCCAAGGGAGGAAACGGCTCCAGCTGTGTTGGTCGTCGTGACAATATGCCCGGAGGTAACGTCCGAGTTCCTGGATCTTCCTCTCAGTCTGGCCATTTGTCTGGGGATGGTAGCGTAGCCTGAGGATAAGTTGACCGTGACCCCTAGTAGTCGGAAGATTGCCCTCCAAACTTGGGAGATAAACTGTCAGAGACTACATCCTCGGGGACTCCGAAGTTTCTGAAGACGTGAGTGAATAAACTTTCTGCAGTGTCGAGAGTGGTTGGAAGTCCTGGGAGGGGGATTAGCTTACAGGCTTTGGAAAACCGATCTACGACCACCAAGATGCAGGTATTCCCATCGGAGTTGGGTAAGTCAGTTACAAAATCGATTCCCAGGTGAGACCAGGGTCGATGGGGAATCGGCAGGGGCACTAGCTTGCATACGGGGAGGTGACGAGGGGTCTTGGACATGGCACAGACTGAGCAACCTCGGACGTACCTGATGACATTCTGGGTCATACTGGGCCACCAGTACCGAGCTTGGAGGAGCGAGAGGGTCCGTTGGCTGCCTGGGTGTCCAGAGCCCGGTACATTGTGAACAAAGCCCAGAAGGGATTGTCGTTGGGGCGTGGGCACATACGTTTTCCCTTCTGGGCCTCCCTGCAGAGCAGGTTCGGTAAGAGTGGCGGCTCGAATGTCCTCGTTAATGTTCCAGTGAATGGGGCTTACAATCAGGGCTGGAGGGAGAATGGGCTCAGGATCGGAAGGTGTGTCTGTGGAGTGCATGCGTGAGAGGGCGTTGGCTTTATTGTTACGATTCCCGGGACGATAGGTGATGGTGAACTAAAACCTGGTGAAGAACAATGCCCAGCGGGCTTGGCGTGGGTTAAGTCTCTTGGCTGCTCTGAGGTATTGGAGATTTTTGTGGTCGGTAATGACTGTGAACGGATGGTTTGCTCCCTCCAGCCAGTGCCGCCACTCCTCCAGGGCGAGTTTGATGGCCAACAACTCCCGGTTGCCGATGTCGTAATTCTGCTCCGCTGGGCTCAGTTTCTTAGAATAGTAAGAAACTGGCTGGAGGCGAGGAGGCTCACCATAATGTTGGGACAGCACGGCCCCAACGCCGGTGGTGGAGGCATCCGCTTCCACTACGAACGGCATGTCCGGATCAGGATGATGAAGGATGGGGGCCATGCTGAAGGCTGTTCTGAGTCTAGTGAGAGCTTTGTGGGAGCTGGTGGTCCAGGACAGGGACTTGGGTTGTCCTCGGAGCATGGAAGTCAAAGGAGCAGTGTGGGAACTGAAATCCTTGATGAATTGACGATAGAAGTTAGCAAATCCTAGAAATCTCTGAAGCTCCTTTACGGTCTGGGGAAGAGGCCACTCCTTGACTGCATCAACCTTCCCCTGATCCATCTGAATCCCTTCCTGGCCGACGATGTAACCCAGGAAAGTACCGTGGGGCGATGGAATTCGCATTTCTCCATCTCCAAGAGATGGTGTTGATGAAACTTCTGTAGGACCTGCTGAACGGGTTGGTGATGGTCAGCCACGTTCCGGGAGTAAATGAGTATATCGTCAATGTAGACAATCACAGAGCGGTGGAGGAACTCCCGGAACACCTCGTTTATGAATCCCTGGAAGACAGACGGGGCGTTGGCTAGCTCATACGGCATTACAGGGTACTTATAGTGGCCAGATGGTGTAATGAATGCCGTCTTCCACTCGTCGCCCTCCCGGATTCGAACGAGGTTGTATGCACTTCGCAGGTCCAGCTTGGAGAATATGCAGGCCCCACGGAGTTCCTCGAGGGCGGCCGGGACCAGGGGAAGTGGATAGGGCAGTTTCACCGTATGGGAGTTCAGAGTCCGATAGTCGATACAAGGCCGCAAGCGCCCATCCTTCTTGCCCACGAAGAAGAAACTAGACGCAGCTGGAGACGTGGAAGGTCGGATGAATCCTTGGTTAAGAGCCTCCTTGATGTATTCCTCCATCACCTTGCGCCCCGGGATGGACAACGGGTATACTCTACCCTTGGGGAGTTTTGCAGTTGAGTTTTGGTCCTGGGATATGAAATTGCCCGAGGAGCCCGAGTCGACGAGGGCAGGGACTGAAACAGAAAGGTCTGGGGTGAATAGTTGTACCGATAGCATTGACAACGTGGAAATGACAGGGTCTAGTTGGAGGGTACTCACCGCAGAACGTGGGGGTCTGACTGGGCAGGTCCTGATGTAATGATCCGCCGCAGCGCAGTATAGACAGACCGGCCGCGAGACGGCGAGCACGTTCCGACGGGGTGAGCCGGGAGGTGTCCACTTGCATCGGATCTGGTATTGGGGAACCCATGCCGGGCGTGACAGACTGCTGGGCGGCTTCGGTGGCGTGGCAGGCGGACAGATGCTGGGAAATTCGGTTGGCTTTTTGCATGGAGCTTTCCAGTCCAACGGAGTCATCATAGATAGCCATTTGAGCTTGTAAATGGGGATTCAATCCTTGCCGGTAAGAGCTAATTAGAGCAACCTCATTCCACCCGCTAGTCGCCGCCAGCATTCTGAACCGCAGGGTGTAGTCGTGAATGGATGCCGTGCCTTGGCGCAGCCGCAGTAACTGGTCAGACACCGATAGCACTCCTGCAGTGTGGCCAAAGACTTCTTCGAAATGGTTAGTGAAAGCATCATAAGAATTAATTATGGCACTATTAGCGTTCCATATGGCCTTAGCCCACAACAGCGCTCTTCCATTAAGAAGTGATATCAGGAATGCTACCTTAGTGCGTTCGGTGGAAAATTTCTGTGGCTGCATCTCGAACAAAGCCACTTGCAGGAGGAAGCCGACACACTCAGCTGCATCACCCGTGTATGAAGCAGGCATGGCCATGGGTCTGACAGAGGCAGATTGGGGGGGTTGTCGGAGGAAGCAGGGAAGCCCGGAGGGCGTTTACCAGCTCCTCCAGAACTTCTGCGGGTGTGGGAGGTCGAGGATCCATGGATGTCTTTGTATTGGTCTGGTCTTCTGTCATAAAGCAAGGCCAGACACAACGGGTAAGTGAAAGACAGGATGGTTTATTGATACAGGATGTGGAGGAGTGGAACGGGTTAGGTTAAGGCAGGTGAGTGTCAACAGAGTGAATGATTCCAGGGTTCTTATCTGAGTTCTGAGGGGGAGTGTCTGATGCCGGTTTCGTGGGAGATCGTGGAACAGCTTCCAAGGAGTCGTTGGAGGATCGCGGGAGAACCAGAGGGTAAGTCTTTCTAGGAGAATATCGTATAGAGAGTCCAGAACAGTCCATAGGAGTGAACGGTAGACCGGACAGTGAGTGACTGTGATGTGTGTGTATTTGTAGTGTGGCTTGACTGGTGACAGCAGGTGCGGGTGATTAGAACTCAGGTGACTGTGATCGGGTGATTATCCTGGCTGGTGACTGCAGTGACTGTGATGAATCCCTGACAGTATGAAATAGCTTCTGTGCTGCTATTGGTCAACGTCACCAATGTGACAGAATTCGTCGTGGACAACGGAAAAACAATTAAACATGCCAGTCTTTCTGTCGTGATGTTGTGAAGCATCGCAGACACGGAATCGGTTGTCTTCGACTATGACACACTACACGTACTGAAACAATGGAATCTTACGTCCCGACACCCATTGTCGTTTACGAATCCCCACGACACCCTACGTCAAGCAAATCGTGGCAAAATCGGGCTAGAATCGTGTAGTCTGAACCAGGCATTAGACATTTCAGTTAAGAATTTTTGTTACCCAATGCCTAAGAGTGTCACACTGAGTCGCATGAGGTCTCCCCTTCAGTAGTAGTGAAAACTATCACTACTACTACTACTTTGGAATAAGATTTCCAGTGTTCCACTACACCTGCTGTGCAGCAGTAACCAGACAGACTCCAAACGATGCCTTTGAATGCTTTAATTAGGGTTGGGTATCTCATTTCAATCAGAGAGAAACCCTCCAGCAAAAAAAAAAAAATACAACAGTTTTTATTATTTTCAGACAGACACCTAGCTGTCTTGTCCATACGCATCAGTTACTGCAACACACTAACAAAAATGTTGGCACATTTTGTATGAGTATAAATGTTAGGCATGCAAGAAAAAGACAAAAGTTAAGCCTGCAAAGAAGAGAAATGTTAGTTTTATATATTTTTTTAAATGATTAATTTAAAAGAAAATCCTTCATATTTGACCCACAAAGACCCAGGAGGGGGGAAATCTGAATGTACTATGAGAACAGCATTTCTGCCCATCCAACAGTAACAAGTACAGAGACAAACTCAGAAAATAAAGTGAAAATTGAAATATAGTATACTCAAGTACCTAATTTCTTTCAAGGATTTTATGTCATTAACCTTTGCAAAAGTTGGCAAGTCCAGTGATTATTTCATCTTCAAAATGACAATGGCAAGCACACCTTAGTTGCATTTAGATTTATTCAGTTTTATCTAAAGAGACTTGCATTTGGATTCAAGGTGTACATGAGCCAGATTAGAGTTTTGTAAGCAATATGCATCAGATGCATCAATATGTATTCAGTCATCGAATGGTCTGTGTCCATCTGTAGGTGTGAAACTAAGACTAATGTGATCAAGAATTGACTATTTTGTTTGATTTCACTGGAGAAATGTTTTATTTTTAACTAGACTTTAACTATATGTGACCCTGGACCACAAAACCAGTCACAATTATAATAATCTGAATAAATAAGCTTTCCATTGATGTATTGTTTGTTAGGATCGGACCATATTTGGCAGAGATACAACTATTTGAAAATCGGGAATCTGAGGGTGCAAAAAAATAAAAAAATAAATAAATTTAGAAAATCGCCTTTAAAGTTTTCTAAATAAAGTTCTTAGCAATGCATATTACAAAACAAAAATTAAGTGGTCACATATATCTCTCATTTCTGGGGTGAAAGCTGTGTTCACTACCACAGAAATGCAGGGTGCTGCTATGATGGGCTGGATATGGTGGTGAGCTCCGCTGTTGGTTGTCAGTTGGGAGACGACACTCATGGTGTGCGAGTGGTGGTAGTTACTGAAGATGACGTCATCCATCGCTACCATAGTCTGGACCAATTAACCGAAAGAGGAATGGACGAAGACCTGAAGAAATTTTTGGTTTGAATCCACCTGCAGATCACTAATCATGTGCTTGTATCTTCATGTTCAGCATTCATTATAGAACCTAAGCCATTGTTTGTACATTTAGAGCTTTTATGTGTGTGTTTTTACAGGAACGAAAAGAGCCTTACGTTCAGAATACATTAGCAAGCATTAAAAATTGGAACCAGTTGCTCTATTAATCTTTGATACTCACATCATCTGTCTCCATACTTTAATCATGAAAATGCATCTGAGAATTTCTTAAACACTGAAGTTAAATCACCTCATCATACTAATGGAGTGAGGAGATGCTAGGGTACAATGGTAGTTTAATAGTGCTGAACATTTTGGATGACAGTTTGATGAGTTCACTCCTTGCTCCTCTCTGCTCATTACTCTGTTCCATCTCTGAGAGGAGGAAAGAGGCAATCTCCATGGTAACTATTGAAAGACGTGGCTGCGGTGACCGGGACATCGAGTCACTTGTTCTGTGGGTGGATCACCAAAAACATAATTGCTGACCTCATCTCACACTTAGAAGCTCCCAAAAACAGCCAGGTGTGACTGAACGAATTTGGCGGCGTGCATGCAGCAAGAAAGTCATCTTAAAATGTCCAAGCTCTGGTCTGAATGCAGACTGTGACCTCGTAGCTTCCTCAACGGTGTCATACTGTACATGCACAAATTAAACTGGATATTTTCCGGTTTTCTCTGTATCTTTCCATGTAATATTTATGTGTATTCAAGTCAAGTCCCGAGTCAAGACAGGCAAGTCTAAGTCGAGTTGCAAGTCCTCAGCTTTAAGATTCAAGTCTTAAACAAGTCATTAGTGCTTTTTGCCCAAATTAGTGTCTCAGTATTAATTACCATATCAAATTCATAGTAATTTATATCAGAAAGGCAGGTAGAATATGTTTGACATAGTTCAATTTCATGTGAGATGGGTGCCCTTATTAAAACTACTCAAATTCAATTTAGGGATTGTGCCAAAATACGATAAGCAGTGAAAAAAACGATTTTATTAGTAACAGAATAGCAAAGACAACATAATTTCATAGAAATAACAGCTGCAACATACTTTGCATGTGTGCATAAGAATAGCTATATGCTTCTAGGTGTTATATCTAAGCCAATGAGACATTATTTGGAACCTCAATCAAACAGATTTAAAAATATGTGGAAGTGGAAACGCAGAAAGAACTGCTTTGAAAGAACTCAAAGAAATAACTGCAAGTATACATTGCAAGTGAGAGGAAACATGCAACATGGATGCAGACAAACTCATGAAGACAATCATTAAAAAATGCTTTGCTACCATTCTTTATAACGAAGAGTAACAAAGACAAAATAATTTTATATATATATATATATATATATAGGTCCGGGTCGCTAAAGACCAGAATATGTAGGCTAATAATGATTGACAAAACATTCATGCATTTAAGGGTTAATGGAGGTTTAGAAAAAATGCACATGCAGTTATCTGACAAAAACAGGTCTCAGAGAGGTGTTTATTACAAATACAAATGAAAATGAAAGCACATGGAGTTAGCAGAGTGTGAGGGTCGTGGTGGGATGCGGACCCGTCACTCGTGGTGCACCTCGGTGTCGGACAAACAAAAGAAGTGAGGAATATTTAACAGCAGCGGTCACGGTGATGATGAGGCGAGCACCAGTCGAGTGATCAAACGGACAGGGCAGCGCTTTTCACGAGCGGAGATCGCTACTAGACGAATCATCCCTGATAGCACACATACATCTCGGAGACATCTATTTGACGTCTGCATTTCCATCTGCAAGATGTATTTTTTAGAGAGTTTGCTCATCTGCAATACGTCTATAGGACGTTTCCTTTTAGATGTCAAATAGACGTCTATTAGATGTCTTTAAGATGTTTATGATTTAGAATGTATAAAACTGACATCTGAAAGACGTCTGTCAGATGTTTGTCCAAAGCAGATGCTTTCCAGATCAAGAGATCTTTAACAGACATCTTGCAGACGTACATGTGCTATCTGGGATGTAATTTTTTTTAAATTTGATTTCTGTTCTTTTGTCGTAATTTATACTAGCCTATCCAGCACTCCCTGAACGCAGTCTCTGGCTTATTGCCAGTCAAGCGCAAGCATGCTGCAGGGACGCGTCTATAACGACTTTGATCTGATCATAAAGTCTTTCCGAGTCACAGGGCCCAAGTCCAAGTCAAGTCTCGAGTCCTTGCTGTCAAACTCTAAGTCGAGTCTCAAGTCTTCTTTAATTATGTCGAGTCGAGTCGCAAGTCATCAAATTTGGGACTCGAGTCCGAGTCAAGTCTGGAGTCGTGCTACTCGAGTCCACACCCCTGGTAATGTCTAATGCTATGATCATTCAGAGGGGTTCAAAAGTTTTCATTATAAATTATGAGTGGAAAGCTTAACTGAGAAATTAACAGAATTGTCAGAATATTCCAGTATTTGATTTGTGCCCCTTTTGCTTTAATGGTGGTTGCACTCAAGCTGCATGAAGATCTGAATGACTTAACGTCCTGTACAGAGGCGTTCACATGATCAATGTTGCAAATTTACAGTAAAACTTTACAGTAAGGTCCCATTTGTTAACTAACATGCACTAGCAGTGAGCAATACAATTTCATAACATTTATTAACCTTTATTAATGTTAAAAATACATCTGTTCATTGTTCATGTGAGTTCAGCTTTTGATTAAAAAAATATTAATAAACGTTGAAATTAACATTAACCAAGACTAATAAATGCTGTAGAAGTATTGGTCATTGTTATTTCTTATCTAATGTGGTTAATAATGTTAACAAATGAAACCTTATTGTACTGGAGATTGTTTTGGATTAATGACTTAGGAATCTACAGTAAGTGTAGAATCTGAAACATTTCATACACTTTTTATATTATATTTCTTTATTTAATTTTTTCAGAATCTTATAACTTTGGTTATTTCAAGGTTTAATAGAATTAAATTAGATTTTGAATTTTATACATGGTCGTATTTTTGTATTATACTTCAAATGAGAGCTGGTTAAACTGAAAAATGTAATGCTTTGTCTCTTTGTCTCTGTTTTTACAAATTAGCTTTTCATTTAAAGTTCTTTTGGTTATAAATTCAGGGCTCCAGACTGCAAATAAAATTCAAACAAATATGACCAAAAATAAATTTGCAGGAATCATTTAAAATCTAGTCGCCACTGACAACAGTTAGAAAAACTTTGTGTTTGTGTGTTTTTAATCAGACAGTCAAAAAGATTCACATTCAGCGGTTTGAATCAGACTTGAAACGACTATAAGGAAAATATTGGAAATAAAAACTTTTTTAACTTATTTTATTTAAAAAGCAGAAATATTCTTTGTAATGATATATAAATGGCACAAATACAATCAAGATCATTCGAGTGACAACATCAAATGGCAAAAAGAAATGCAGTTATGAATCAGCGATACAAAATAATACCACACCAATGTTTCAACTGGTATGGTTCAAGGTATGATGATTTTTATAATGATATTTAACTACAGTCAAGATAACTAAAGTGACAGCATCAAATGAAATCACTAAACGAATCAGTGACAGAAAAAAAAATACCACACCAATTTTTCCTCAATTACACAAAACAATCTTTCCCATTGCAGCTCACTGCACAGACCTGACTCAGTGAACCTAGACATAAGATGTCCCTTATTGTCTCTCCAGCTTCTTCCTGCAGCAGCTCATGTATATTGAAAGCATCTTCCTGTGCTTTTTGTTTTGATCTCAAGCCAGAGGGCAAGTAATCAGCATGTCACTCTAAGATAGCATGCAGTACTCAAGGATGTACAACATAATACGATTTGTACAGGTCAGTGACTACACCGTAGTAATGGCCTCTGTTCTTACATTGATAATTTGGATATGTCACAGTAAGTCAGCTGTAAAGAGATACACATGTTTCTTTTATATAAATTTAGGTTTCTTATAGAAATAAGCCATTGGTCTGTTTGTAAAGCATAGTTTTTCTTGCCCATCTCGGTTGATTCTCACATGGACAGGCAGCATAGCACAGTAGATGAATTCAGTCTTGGAACAGGAGGACATCTGACATTTAGCAGGTTGGTTTTCTTCACACAGCAGAATGAACTCCTACACTGAGTAAATCACAGGGCATCAACAGCCTGACATATAAACCACCAATAATAACCACCTGCCGAACATCCAAAACTGGCTTTATCTTAGCTGCTATTGAAGTGTAAACTATCCTTTATTCAACAGTTAATTACGGAATACTAGACCAATCAGAAAAGTGGGCAGAATTTAATTTAATATTAAATAAATCAGTTTGTCTGAATCTGTGATGGGGTATTTTTCTGTGAGTTTTTCTGCAGGTTATATCTACACGGCAGAAGGTGGCGTCAAGTGCATGTTTTATGAGTTATTCATTCAACTAATTCATTCTAAACATTGATTTGTGACTGTCTTTATGAGCGAATCACTGATTAATTCACTCAGATTCATTCAAAAATATTGATTCATTTACAATCTCAGAAAAACTGTACACCCTCACAATACGCAATACAAGATGCAAAAGCTAAAAGGTACATCTTTGTACCTTATTTACTGCTAAATTATACATATTAGCACCTTTTGAAAGGATACCGACCCAGTGACATTTTTGCACCTTTTCTTTTTTTGTGGGTATAGGGATACAGTGAGTGTCTAATGAGTAATATGAGTGACTGAATTATTCACTTAAATGTTTTATTGAAAAATGCTGGTTCATTCAGGAATGAAACACAAACTGTGAGTTGCAACAACAGTTATACTAATGCTTTATTTTAAACTGTTTGTGTTGGCAGCACAAAACCAGAGTTCACAATTATTTGATCTAAAACGTATGTCACTCAGTATTAAATTCTTGCCACTAAACTATGCACATGTCGGAGTTAATGAAAAGGCGGCTTAAAACCTGGTAAAGGCCATCCATGAGCATTTCCATTCAGCCAACCCACGCCTGAATTTCCCGCTTTTCCAATAAAAA